CTTGATGGGCTCTGTCCCTGAGAGTCTCTCTCCGGCTCTCTCACGCTCTCCTTCAGAGAGGAGCCCACGCTCTGTCTACGGAGCATGACCCCTTTGTTAATAAACTTCCCTTCTGACTAACTTTGGCGAGGATTTGAACTCTCTCTTGCGCTCAGCCAAGCACCCTTTCCTCCCTGGGTGTAGGACTCAAGCCCTGCCCCCAGCCCCCCTCGGGGAACTGCATAGGATCCCAGAGTCGGGGGCATTTTTCTCCTTGACCTAGATGGTGGACACACGGTTATTATGATTAAAACTGCACATGTCCATTTTATATCCTCCTCCATTTGAATGATATGATGACGATAATAAATACACATTAGGGCTCCTTATTCTTGAGTTAACTTTGCATTGTCTGTATCAGTTCATGTAAAACTAAGTGGCAATAAAAACATTGTCTATATCAGTTCATGTAAAACTAAGTGGCAATAATCGAATGGGCCTTATTCCTTCAGGATGTCCAACCTGGAAAAAGATCAAAAATCTGAAACGCCAATGGGAAACAGCTGCCTGGGGGTGGTGACAGAATAAGACTAATCATGCCCCCCCCCCAAAAAAAAACACTCTATCTCTCAAAGTGGGTCATTTGGGAAGAGTTTGATAAAGATACAGGGAAAGTCTAAGGAACTACAAGTGACAATACCATATCAGGACCGGTAGCCAAGGTGGGTGGGTGGGGTATCATCACCCCTAGGGCCAAAAGACAGAGAAAGATAATAATGACTGGTTTCAGCCAGAGACAGAGGAAGCCGATGGAGATGGTGCTTGATTTGAACTGTCACCTTCTCACAGAAACACAGCCAGCCTGAGATGACCTGGCAGCGAAGGATCTTGGTGACCGAATGTTCCTCCTCTGATCTCTTGCTCGTGTTCCCTATTGGCCAAACCCAACGAAAAGTCATAATGTTGCAGGATTCTCAAACAGAGAGACGGGACACGGAGGCTATAAGCGGGAAGCAGCGTTTATTGATGCCGGCACCTGCTCAGCGAATCCTTATCCAAAGGCTGAGCCCCGATTGTAACATAACAGGCAGTTTTATACAGTCTTGTTATTCCTACACAGCTACAGAGATAAGAAAGAACATTAACTGGTTGGCAGGCCATGAAAGAACAGATATTAGTTGGAGAGTCTTTGAGGTGGGGGAGGGGGGAGTCGAGAACAAACTCATTTGAGCAAGAAATGGCCAGGCAGGGTCAGGCTGCCACAATAGGACAAGAGAGCCCAGTGATGTGACCTATATAAGATACCCCTTCAGGGCACAGAGAAAACTAGAGAAAGGCGGAAAAAATATATCTGGAGAGGCAAATGAAAGATTTCCGGAACATTTCCTTTTGTTTGTGCGAAGAAATAGGGTTGAAAACTTCTCGAAGACATAAACCCAGACTCAAGAAGCTCAGTGAGCCCTAAACAGGACTAACTCAAAGGAGTGTCAGCCCCGACGTGTCATAATCCAATGGCTAAAAACTAAAGACCAAAGGGAAAAAAAATCTCGAAAACAGCTAAATGAAAATGATCCTGTCAGGTAGCTAGTCGGGCATCGGTGACAGGAGCCAAAGCCCAGTTCTGTAACCATGGAAACTTCCCTTAAGGACCTCCCAGAAACACCTGTCTTTTAGGGTTATAGATCACCCAAATCCTAGAGCACGAAGGCCGTAAAAGTGGCTGGCTAAACCAGCTACAAACGCATGCGCAGAAAGTACCCTAACTTCAGCCTCATTATACCATTATTATAATGTCGTGACTATGCCTGGAAGTTCATGACTCTAATTATAACAGACTGAATTCTGGGTAAGCACCTGCGCAGTAGGCAAAGCGTTTATATAGCCGCCGACTGTCAGTCAAGGTGACCTCACAAACGGATCATCTAGGACTTCCCATTACGGCCCAGATCTCAACAGACCTTCCCGTTCCTGCCACAGCGTTCCTGGCTGGAAACTCGCCCCTCCCTTTGGGGCAGACTGTCATTTCTCTTCACCTCCCAAATCCCACAGGGCTGCAGCCCTCCCTCATGTGGCTCATCTCCTTCTAAAAAGTACTTTCAAGAAATCTTATTTTTTTAAAAAAAATCTTACTTTTCCTTAATCTCACTGACCTATAATTCCTCGCCGTGTTGGCGGGGAAGAACCAAGGGACAATACACAAGCCACTGTCATCCCAATCACTTCCTTCACCCCCATGCCGCTGGGGTGACACCCCAGCGGGGACGACCCATTCCCTACAGAAAACCGTGATCCAAATGATCGTGGCCAGAGGACGTGGCGCAGTGTGTTTTTAAATGGTTAAGTGTAGATAGCACGTCATAAAGCAGGATTTCAGGGCTGCGGAATAGGGAATATCACAGGGCGTTTTCTGAGAGGGAAGGGTTAGATCAGGCTCTTTATCCTGATCACAGTGTTGGTTACGTGAATCTACACGTGTGTTA